TGTGGATATGGAAATGGCGGCTTGAACCACCTAGTGACATCGAGAGAAATCTCGTTGACTATACTATGAGTGTTTCTGTCTCAAGAATTGACTCCGGACAACAAAATTCCTTTCGAATACAAAATGATTGTTAAAAATTACTATTGCAATGAAAAACTAATTGGATGTGACCCAAAAACTCCACACAATCGTGGCAATTAAATGCGTTGTGTTACTAACATGGCGATAAGACCTACGATTATATGTAGCATAAAGGTTTGGTGATTCAATATTAATATCATCACGACCCCGATTTAGAAAACTTTAGGTCGGGACTGAGATTTTAGCATTGGACCGTGATATTGAAAATGAAGAAATATCGTTCAAAATGTATACTATTTAATCCTAGTGGCAGCCGTGAGGACTCTATGAATGTCTAAACGGAATCCCACTCTGTTTTAATAATATATGGCTACAATTATATTTTGCTTTCATTTGGGCCCCACGCTATGGGCGCCATTATGGGGGTGGTTCTTGACGACATTGACTAGGTTGGCAATACGTGGAACAAAAAAAATTATCATGCCAGACTGATCAAAATTTAAAAAAAAGGTATTCCGAGCCCGAGAGAAATAGTAAACTATTAATGACTTTTACCACAGCATAAATAAGAAAAAGCAACCAGTTATATGGAAAAAAAATCATGAAAGTACTCGGCAGGTGTTAAACCGAGCTCTTCCCTCCCACTGGAACACTTGTTCCACCTTGGCAATCAAAACATGTTCATATTGTCCCCATACCTACCTCTTCTTTGGCACGTCACCCTCCTAACCTTCAATTAAATTTCCTTATGGAGAAGACATTTTAATTCATATCCATCGTTATAATTTTATTTTTAATTCAAGTTTCTTAATTTTAAATACCATAAATCGTGGATCATTTTAACTTTGAGATTCACATGGTTAAAAAGGTTTTTACTAGTGCAAAGAGTTTTTACTAGTGTAAAATATTCGAAAATCGTAAGTATTATAATTTTGAGCGTTGTACATAATAACGAAACTTAGGTAAGTACCACTTTTGGGGATTTATTTAATAAATTTAATGTAAGATGGCTGCTCTTCTTTTTTTTCCCAGGGATGCTGAACAGAGGTCCTATGATAGCGGTGTTTGCTGGCAATTGAGCTTATTATCGTCAGTTAATCTCGTAAGTATGGGTGTTGTATTTTTGTTTTATAGTTCAAACCCTGAATAAAAAGTTTTCTTCTATTTTAAGTGGAGTAAAAACAAAGGGACAACATTAAGCTTTTGTGAATGGGAGCAACTAACTCCTGGTGATAAATTACCTGTCCTACCTGCCTAGAGAGAGCTCTATCTATTCGGAGAGGATATGAGAATAAAAAAATTCGAATAATAATGAAAACAAAAGGAAATGTCTACCCTTAAGGCCACGTGTTTTCTATACCCTTTTATTCCAGGTTTATGGGCTGTCCGTCCGTCGAAAGTAATTATCAATAAGTTTGGAGGTAAGTAATGAGTTAAAGTCAATAGCTCGTTTTACACCATATCAGTTTTATATTCTTTTATTTTTAGGTACCTCAGCACCGCGGAATGCCTGGTGCTCAACAGCGGATCCAACGATGAGCAGAGGAGTCGGGATCGGTGGTCCAAATATCGTTAGCGATGCTGGCAAAAGTGTTTGGTGCTGTATTACTTCCTTTTGTTCAACAGTTATTGAGGTTTTTTTTTTTAATGCAATAAAGGCAATAAATAGTTTTAAAATTTTGTTTTGTGAAATTTTGTTTTACACCGATTGTATTTAACGTTGGTAAAAACTTTTACTATTTTCTTATTGCCCGATCCACTTCCTGCTGCCAAGAACTCCAGAAATAAAAAGAAAGAACCTTGAATATTTTACATGACGCACATGACAAGCTTTGTACAGCCGACGACTGCGTGGGTCTCTTTGCAGCAGGTTGTTTTTCCTCCGAGGATCTCATTCTCTTGACAGCCGTGTGCTGTGGTCGAGATTTGGCACCAGTGGTTGCCAAATCTAGGGGCGCCATTCTCGCCTCTTCGGCCCAGGGATTATAGGCACTCGGTCATTTCCTCCGAGACTCTTGCCCATCAGTAAATAAATGAATTTTGGAATATAGGGTAAACGCACCTCATTCCGGCATGTACCAATAGTCGACATATGTTTTATAGAACTTCGAATAACTAAAAAATCCTATAACTAAATTTGAAAAATTCCTTGAATAATCTTTAATAACACTGCAACCTATCTCTGTATAAAATTTAATCGAGCTAAGTACATTTTTTCAGTCAAAATTTGACATTTGGTCAATGAGTTTTGTCAACACTAGCGATAATTCATGTTTCTTAAGAAAAAAATTAGTGGACATGTCGATTTTAAAAGACTATAGGTGAGTCTGGTTACTTTTCCAGTAACATTTATTCAGTAAGTTATAGTTCAGAGAGTAAGCCCTTTTTACTCTCTTTTGCGATAACATTTAGTAAGATTTAGCAAGATGCACCAAAATAAACAACCAAACAAAGGCCGGTTCTATGCACCGGATTGACTCGGAGGAGTCAACTTCCGACCAAGGGCTGTCAACCCAGCAAATACAACGTGTATTTTTTCAACTTAGGAGCATCATTACCCGGAATGTTTGCTCCGGATTCTTTTGGTTCGTGCCGGGAATAAGACAAACCCCAGACCATGGTTCTGCTCAGTTTGTCACAACAGCATCCACCACAGATCTATCTCGGTGAGATGCAACGGATGCAGAGAATGGGTACATTTCAGGAGTTGTTCCGGCCTTAGCCGGATACAGGAGTATAGTGAAAGGGACTGCTTCTTGCTGCGCCAATGCAGTCCCCAGCAAGTTGTCGTCATCACCGTGGTCCACGTCATCATCTTCGGATTACGTGACTCCCCCGCAATCTCCGCAGCAGCAACCTGCGCCGCAGCCGCTAACACCGCACATTGCTGTCGCAACTCCTGATAACGTATCCTTTCTTCAATTCAACTGCGATGGACTTCGAGGGAAAATCAACGAAATAGTGGATTTTATGAGTCGAAGAAGTATTATTGTCGCTGCGATCCAAGAAACGAAGCTGAACAACACCTGCAGTCATCAGAGTTGTGATGGATACAACGTGATTAGAAAGGATCGTACAAGAGGTGGAGGATTAGCATTCCTATTGCACCATTCTTTCCAGTACAGACCTATCTCGCTTGAGCTAGACTCTAGTGACCCATACATGGAATGTATGGGGGGTAGCGGTCAAATGTGTTACCGCCGAGGTAGAGGTGCTTAACGTTTATATTCCACCGTTAAATAGCTGTGCCCCGCGTTATTTGCCTGACATTAGTCATCTTTTGGAAGGCAATAACCGTCTGGTGCTAGGGGATTTCAATGCACATCATGAGTTATGGCATTCCGTCCTAGGTAATGACCAGAGGGACATGGCGCTGGCCGAGCAAATCGATTTTATAAATTCTGAACGCCGTACTTTCCTTAATCATGGGAAAGCCAATTGATAAGAGTTCAGAAATTTCACCAATCGTCGCTTCAGAGAACTGCCCATCTCTTCTGATGCTCGGGAAGCAGAAAGGAATTTCCGGGACATCATCACTGCTGCAGCCGCTCGCTATATACCTGCGGGTCGTATACCCGAACTAAGACCTAACTTCCCAGCAGAGGCAGCGGGACTAGCGAATGAGCATGATGAGCTTCGCCGTTCTAACCCTACTAACCCCAGAGTCAGAGAACTGACGTTGGAAGTGAACAGGTTAGTCGGCGAGCATAAGCGGAAAAAATGACTAGAACATCTGAAGTGTTGCAACATCAGTACCGGAGTGAGTAAATTGTGGGCAACGGTTAAGTCGCTCTCGAACCCTGGAAAGAAGGAAGATCGGACTTCTGTCTCATTTAACGGCGTTGAGGTGACAGATCCGAAGAGGTGCACGTGTTATTTCAACCGGCAGTTTATAGAGCACCCCGAGAGTGACCGGACGAAGAGAAGAGTATTGCGCCGTATACGCTCTCTTCAGGTGGAGGAGGAACCACCACAATTTACGTTTGAGGATGTTGCAAATCTCATCAGGAACGCGAAATCATCCAAAGCGCTTGGTCCAGATGGAATCTCAATGATGATGTTGAAGCAGCTTGATAATCCAGGAGTAGATTATCTCACTAAAGCCCCGGACTTGTCATTATCCACCCTAGTAGTTCCCGATGCCTGGAAAATGGGCAGGGTGGTCCAGCTAATGAAGCCTGGCAAGGATGCCAGCAAAGGTGAGTCATACAGGCAGATCTCACTTTTGTCGCCAGTAGCCAAGACACTTGGGGCTTTACTACTCCCCAGTATTCGTGAATGCTACTCAGTTGCCGAATATCAGCATGGGTTCCGGAAACAGCACAACAACAGCTTTGCACGCCATTTCCGCACACATAGCAGAAGGACTCAACCAGAACAGGCCGTGTAACAGGACAGTCATGGTGGCGCTAGACCTATCGAAGGCATTTGATACCGTCAGTCACGCCAAGCTGTTCGAGGACATCGAGAGAACAACCCTCCGGCCAAGTTTGAAACGATCATAAACTATATGTGTGGACGCCAGTCGTACGTGGAATTCAGAGACAGGAAATCGAAGGCCCGTAGAGTTAAACAGGGAGTTCCCCAAGGAGGGGGTCCGGAACTGTTTAACCTCTACCTCTCTGGATTTCCACGCCCACCGGACGGCATAAAGATCGTAACATATGCGGATGATTGCACGATTATGGCGTCAGGACCGAAATTAATGACATTTGCGAGAGGCTGAACCACTATCTCGAGGATATCGCTGATTTTTTCCGGTCGAGGAATATGAAAATATCCGCCACTAAGTCAACGGCCACACAATTTCCACATGGACAGCGGAGATGAGGCCATCTTTGGATGTGCAGGTCGAGGGGTCCACAATTCCGACCACTAATTACCCCAAGGTTCTAGGGGTCACATTCGATAGCCTATACAAGTCGTCCGCGTATGTCACAGCTATTTGCGATAAAGTCAGGAGCAGAAACAAGGTTCTCAAGTCGCTAGCCGGCAGCACTTGGGGAACTGACAAGGAAACCTAGTTAACGACTTATAAAGCAATAGGCCGGTCTGTGGTAAACTATGCGGCGCCAGTGTGGTCCGCTAACGTAAGTGCAACGCAGTGGAAAAATCTTCAATCCTGCCAGAATGCCGCCCTGTGGACTGCAACAGGGTGTCTCCTCATGACTCCAATAGACCACTTGCATGAGGGGACGAAGATCCTTTCTGTGCGTCAACACAACAAGATGTTGTCGATGCAATACTTGCTTGGGTGTTATAGGAGCAGCCATCCGAACCGCTACCTAATGGATAGGCACCCACCACCCAGGCATGTCAGGAAGGATCTCCATGATCTGGAGAGAGAGGTCCAGAGATACAAAAGGGAGCATCTAGATCAACAGGCCTATCAAGCAGGATTGAACAGTACTCACACGGACGCAGTTCAAGAATATCGTGTGAATACCATCCTCGGGGACCATCCGCCTTTGATAGCTGCAGAAGAGCAGCAGCTACCTAGACAAACTAGAGTGGTCTTGGCACAACTGAGATCTGGATGGTGTAGCCGCCTCAATTCGTATTGGGCACGAATTGATGGAGAGGTCGACAATGTCTGCCCGGCATGTGGTAACGGACGGCGGTATGAAATAAGTCCCCAATGAAATAAGTCCCCAAACAGAAAATGAAATAAGTCCCCAATTTTTTATACACAAAACAAAAACAACTATACTTGGGGACTTATTTCATTTTTTGGGGACTCATTTCATTTTAAATATTTGGGAGTTATTTCATTATGAAATAACTCCCCAAAATTGTAAAATGAAATAAGTCCCTAATGAGAATTTGGGGACTTATTTCATTTTTCTAAAATTGCAAAATAATGAGAAACTTGAAAAAATGCCGTTATATTTCTTGCTGAGCTACTGACTGCAACTATTGTTTACCAACTAGTTGATCGAAGAACGTAGAGTTATAAGCGTCATGGAATACGAAATCATTGCCGGTAAAAGAAAAACATCAAAATTATTGTATATTCCAGAACAAAAAATGATTTATATAAAAAAATCTGAATACAAATGTGTCCAAAAATTTGAATGCAGGATTAAAACTTGCAAAGCTAGGGTAAATGTTGAAAATGGAAAGTGTTTTTTGGCAAAAAAGTATATTGACCATAATCATCCAAACGAAGAACAATTCTATATGGAATTGAAAACATTAAATCAAATTAAGAGTGATTGTGAGGGAATTGGTAGTGTCTTGGGAGGAAATAGAACTCCTATTAGCACTATAAGATCTTCATTCCGAAATGCATGTGAAAGGTAAGTACAGAAAAAATAATAATTGACATTTTTTAGTAATTATTCTTTAATATCTAGAAATCAAACATTTTCCAATAATATTTCGTTTGGAAAAATACAAAGAGGATTGCAGTATATTGTTGGCAACAAACTTGTGATTTCCCCAAAAAATGCAATTCAAGTTGTTGAGTGCTTTAACTTCGAAGCTGTATGGACACAATTTGGTCTGACAAAAGACGATGAAAATCCTAGACATTTTTTCACAGCATGCATACAGGATGATCATCACTCATTTTGCTTATTTTCATCCTTAAAATCAATTGATTTAATTAAAGAAAATATCCAATCAGCGCAACGGAC